GATAAATTGGCTCTGTGGCACAATGCGTTCAATGAAAGCTGCGTTCAGGAGATAAAAACCGTCCCATTGACGTGAACTATTAGGTTCTGTGCCCCGTATTCACCTGTATTCAATACGATTGTGTTTTGTGACTGTAAAATCCATTTTGTGGATTACTGTTTTGGCGTAATAGATTTTTTGGGGGCTAGAGCTCAATCACTGTTTTATTTGACGAAAAAATATTTTATGTTAGATAGAATTTATGCATTTTGATTGTTTGAATGATGAGTAATTTTTTTTTATGGAATAGGAGGCAAACGAGCCGACGGATCACCTGATGGTAAGCGATCAGCGCCGCCCATGGACACCCGCAACACCAGAGGAGTCACAGATGCGTTACCGAAAAGCAAATTGAATGCATCCCTGAAGCATACACTTTCAAAAAATTGTAATAGCACTTTAAGGAACAACGAGCCTCCGACCAGACGACGTGATCATGCCTGGCGGGCTTACTGCCCAACAGTTGTCCATTTAGATTTTCTATCCGTGTTTTCCTGATAGAAATAACCTTTTTTTTTTTGACGGGGGAAAATCATCCAATGACTTCTCCCGCCCGGGTGAGGCGGGAGGGAGTGTCAGACTCTTACTGACTAAAAACCACCCCGTTCCTACTCCTGCACCTCGAGCCGGAGCCCCGGCAACTCGTTAGGTCTTCCGCGGCTCCGTATCGGCATCAGCCCTGTTAGGCCCCATCTGTGGTGGTCTGATGGCTCCTTGAGGCGCGCGCGGAACGCGACGCGCCGTACGCTCGGGCCTGGTTCTGGTCGGGCGGCGAGTCACCCGTGCTCGCCGTCCGCAGGCCCGTGCTTACGGTGGCCGGAGATCGTCTCGCGATCCCTGACGCCCGGAGTGTCTCTCGCGATGGCCGGGTCGTGAGGAGGTTCGTTCCCTCACGCGCTCCGCTTCCTCCTTAGCTAGCATGACTGCTTCGCAGAAGGAGGAGACGGCATCCCAGTGCCCCTCGCTCCGTACCATGGTCTGAACCAGAGCCGGACGCGAGAGGTCGCCGTCGCCGATCACATTCCTGAGGACACGGCGGTGCTCAGTCCACGCAGGACACACCTCCACCGTATGCTCCACCGTGTCCTCTGGGCGATCCTCGCAGTGATGACACCCGGGCGTTTCCTCCCGCCCAATCCGAAACAGGAACCTACCGAAACTTCCGTGTCCGGTAAGCACCTGCGTCAGGCGGTAGGTGATGGAAATAACCTGAGTGTCTTAAAGGCCCGAGTGAATAGTTTGCTTATGGGTCGACGTGCTCCATCGTAGACCGCCTCATAATTTACCACCAGGCGAGATAGTGGCCAAACGTAGGCCCACCAAATTAAAAAAAATAATAATTTGCATGTAAACTTCATATGTGCGATGTAGCATTTGTGTCGTCATCCGTTGACTTGTTCGTCTATCATGTGTCGTCACAACTCTAACTTATAAGTCTAACCTTTTCACATTCGGATGGGGCCCAATAGGGCTGATGTCGATTCAGAGCCGCGGAGAACCTAACGGGTTATCGACGCTCCGGCTCGAAGCGCAGGAATAGGAACGGGGTGGTTTTTAGTAAGTAAGAGTCTGACACTCCCTCCCACCTCACCCAGGCGGAAGCAGTCATTCGATGATTTTTCCCCCTTAAAAAAACCTTTTCACATTAGTATTTGTGATCAAGCACGAAGTCTTTGATTTGTTTTGCAAGTCGGTTATATCACCAAAAAATCTCTAGTAAGGGACATAGAGTGTAGAATAACGTTGATTGCTTGCATATATCCTTGTTCCCTTTTAGTTTTGAGGGAAAATCATCCAATGATTTCTGCCACCAAGTTAAGGCGAGAGGGTGAGTCAGACTATTACAGACTAAAACCACCCCGTTCCTACTTCTGCACTTCGAGCCGAAGCTCCAACAACCCGTTAAGTCCTCTGCGGCTCTATATCGGTATCAGCCCTATTGGACCCCATCTGTGGTGGTCTGATTGCTCTTTGAGGTACGCGCGGAACGCGACGCGCCGTACGTTCGGGTCTGATTCTGGCGAGTTACCCGTGTTCGTCGTTCGCAAGCCCGTGCTTACGGGGGCCGGAGATCGCATCCGTGTCCTCTATTCCAATGGCACTGATAGTATTCCTAGCCAAAAACCACACATACCTCTTCAAAAACCATCAACAAATAAATTACAACGTTCCAACGAACAACGACATAACTAACTACTTCTAGTATCGCTTGTTATGGCACATTTAACTGAACAAAACCACAACTAGTTGGACAAATCAGTTTAACTGCCAACTTGAGTGGAACGAAACTTATAATTGGATGAACGAGGGATTTTAGAATAAATTGTTATCGTCGTATATTTTGTTATTGGGCTTGTAGGTAAGTTGTAGTGAAATTGCCTGGTTGAAGAATTATTGTCTAACTTGCTTGTAGATAGGGTTAGATCTTGTAAGTTTATGTGTGTAGTTCGTTTTTATAATAACTGTCGTGAGACATACTAAATTAACTACAAATTACGCGTTACTCACTTAAATATACTGAGAAAAGCTCGGCTAGTTTTCAGTCACAGAGGATATTTTCCTCATGAGCAGCGTGCGTGGTCGCGACGATATCGCGCAGAGCATTGAGGATTAGCAGCATAGGGAAGAGTCCCTCTGTGATTCGAAACTATTACGGCTACAAAACTATAAAAAGAAAAGTAAGACCATAAATCTACCATTGAAAGTTTGATTATTTTTCAATATATTTTTGACTCAGAAATCTACCTAATTCTCAAGACTAAAAACTATCCATCACCAGTCCGAACTCGATAATCTTCCATATAACCATAATCCACGACCTAAAGTCACTTAATTACTATAAAAAAGTAAAAAAAGTCCCTCGACTTCTGACTCGATGAAATCTCGAACAAGTAAATCCTCTTGGCCATTTAAGTCTCCAACATACCGAGCGCAAGTTGAACTATCCCATTCTTCTAACAGTACCAAAAGATATTCATTTCCATCGCTATGAGACTAAGGTTGAAAACTCTTTGAAGATGTTTATCAGATTGGGGTATGTTGATGTGCTGGCGTGGTACCACGAATTAGTAACTTGAGTCGAGGTATTAGCAAATTAAGACGTCGAAATGTTTCAAGTAATCTATGGACGGGTGGAACAATCTTTTGGAATCTTTGCTTGATTTAAACTTAGACGTTGATGTTTGTACTTAAATGTGTTTTAGTTTCAAGTTATTTGGCTTTAGTTTGCTTTCGTGATCTGAGGGTAAATGGAGCATTGATTTTGATGCAGTTGGAGTTAGTTTAAAGTTTTAAGTTGCTGTCATTGTTTGTAATTCGTTTGAAAATCTTCATTGCTTAACGATTAATCCTAATGTGCTGAATCGATTCTATCATAGCTGATCAGAAGGTTGGGATTGGGAAAAAAATTTGTTACAACTTTGATTTAAGGTTTGACTACTTATAGAGGTAGTATTTCTTAAATAATTATTTCATAAACTACATTAAAAAACCGAATTCAACAGCACTCTTTTTTAATTCGGTCGGTTAATTTGTGTACTAAAAACTTCTTGTAAGGTTCCACTTTTCTGAGAACCGCATCAAACACGGTCCAGCGAATCGCGAGATAATTGCGCACAAACATACATATATTTTTTTTAATTTTTATTATACATACATGCGGGTCAAACTGAAAATCTATTTTTATTTTGAAGTCGATTAAATAGAAATGAAATGATATTTAATTCTGAAAATAGGTTAAAAAGTATCACTTTTACACGTCAATCTTTAACACGTTCACTGCCAACGCGGTCAATGTTGTCCGATGCTCATATACGCTATCAAGCTAAATAAAATTCCTCATTTTTATAATTTTTCACATATACTTTTTATTCATTATTTAGCCACTTTATGTATTTAAATAACGTGTATTAATGAAAACACAATGATTTAATACCTTTATTATTCACTAGCTTCTGCCAGCGGCTTCGCCCGCGATCCCAGGGGGAAAATGCCAATGTATTACTTCACACCATACTCTACCTCTGTTCCGAATTTCATTCCGGTCCCTTCAGTCGTTTTAATATGACTGAGTAACAAACATATACAAACACATAAGCTCACATATTTTCACATTTATAATATCGAGTCAAGCTAATTTCAGCCATCGGCCCTACAGTTACAGCGTAAAGTCTATGGATGAGTATTGTAAACGTAAGAGTAAACAAATATAAGCAGAAAGCTCCGAACTGCTAAGCTATCTGGAGTTACACGTGTTATTGTAAGTCAACCATAAAAGATAGACATGTGCTGTTGTGGGATATTATTTAGATAATTTTATGTAGAACATTTCCGTCATACATGATTTCTATGCAGCTTTAACTATTAAGCCTGCACACGCGACGGAAGCTTAAAAAATGGAGTAACTTCTCCCGTTTTCCCAATATTTCCCTTCACTGCTCTGCTCCTATTGATCGTAGCGTAATGAAAAGTATACTATAACCTGCCCAAGAGTATGAAAAATAATTGTGCCAAATTTTGTTAAAATCAGTCGAGTAGTTTTTGTTTCCATAACGAACATACAGACAGACAGACAGACAGACAAAAATTTTACTGATTGCATTTTTGGCATCAGTAGCGATCCCTAACCACCCCTTGATAGTTATTTTTTAAATATATTTTATGTACAGAATTGACCTCTCTACAGATTTATTATAAGTATAGATTATTACGCATCGCACAACATTGACCCCCATGGCCTTACTGGACGAAAAATCAAAAATTCGTTAAATAGAGCCGCGCGGTCAGGTTGCCGCCCACCGCCGCCCGCGACTCCTTCCCCGCGCATACGCCGAGTTGTCTCATTCTCATTGCATTGGCGCTCGCAGTGACGCAGTCGTTATCTCCGATTAGTGACGTGCACATTACATTGTAAATTTAATTTATTGTTTACGATGTGTTTTTGAGTTTTTACTATAATCGTTATGGATGACATGGATAGTTTTGACGACTTTGACATAACGCAAGAAGATATAACGCAGATCGAAAATATCGAGTTCGATTTGCTGAATAGAAGTCTTCATTTAAGTTCCGATGAAGAAGACAATATTCAGCCTACTCATTCGAAGCGACGTCGAGTTATACAATCCGAAAGCGAAGACAGTGATTCTGAAACCAACCGTGCCATCCAAGACCTAAGCAGAAGTTTGCCGCCTTCAACATGGACTGACCCTAAAGGTAATCAGCGTAGAGTTATTGCTTTTACTGAGTTTCCTGGAATGACACTCAACTTACGCATGACTATGTTAAAAAAATGTCCAGCTGATTTTTTTGCGCTTATGGTGACGGATGAGGTTTTAAATAAAATTGTTTTATGCACTGACGCCTATGCCTTTAATAGAATAACGATGTCTAATGAAGCTTCGAAAGCAGCGCGCATTCGTGGCTGGGTCCCTACTAACCTAACTGAAATAAAAAAGTTCTTTGGGCTGATTTTATACATGGGTATAGTAAGGCTTCCGAAAATAGCAGATTACTGGACCACAGATAAAATCATTGGACAGCAATTTCCGCGAACTATTATGTCTCGCAATAGATTTGAGCTTTTACTCGCAATGCTTCATTTTTCACAAGAAGATGAAGAGAATACGACCGATCGTTTACACCGAGTCAGAGACCTGGTAGAAGTAATGAATGCAAATTTTAAAAAAGCTTACACTCCTGGAGAAGATTTATGTATAGATGAGAGTATGATACCTTTTCGCGGGCGAATTATATTCCGGCAATACAATAAGCAAAAACGCCATAAGTATGGGATTAAGTTATTCAAACTATGTACTTTGCCCGGGTACACATACAAACTTAGCATTTATGCTGGCAAACAAAACGATGAAGTCAATACTACGCCTATGAAGGTTGTTATGGCCTTATGCGATGACTTGTTAAATAAAGGGCATACTTTATATACCGACAATTGGTACACAAGCGTCGGATTAGCTAGAGAACTTTTAAAGAACGAAACGCATTTAGTTGGCACTTTAAGGAAGAATCGCAAGCATTTTCCAAAAGAAATTGTTTCTACAAAATTGAAAAGAGGGCAATATATAGCTAAAGAAAGTAACGATGGAATCACTGTATTGAGATGGAGGGATAAACGAGACGTATTGGTTCTCTCTACTAAACATTCAGTGCGATTCCAAAGTATCATCAAACATGGCAAACAAACCTCTAAACCTAAAATAGTCCTGGATTATAATAAAGCCAAGGGTGCAGTAGATTTATCCGACCAAATGACAGCTTATCAAACACCTCTAAGGAAGAGCATCAAATGGTACAAAAAACTAGGCATAGATATACTTTTAAATACAGCTATGGTAAATGCTTTAATTCTTTATCAAAGCGTGGCTAGAAAGAAGATATCAGTACTTGAGTTCAGAAAAGAAATTATGAAGAGTTTTGTAGATTTCGATACTAATGATACTCCATCAAATCAAAGAACGAAAAGAGTAAAGCACCAATTGAAGAAAAAGGAAGGACCTACAAGTAAATCCCGCCGTGCATGCCAACAATGTTATAAGAATATGGTAGCTACCCATGGACGTTTAATCGCTAAAAACAAAACTAAAAAAGTGAACACCTTCTGTGTCAACTGTCCAGATAAACCTTATCTTTGTGTTGAATGTTTCACAAAAATCCATTAGCGTTTTCGTATAAGTTTATTTTAATTACATTTAAGAGGCTCAAATTGATTAAACAATTTTTTCTGTAACAAACGTTTTTTTATTTACTTATAATCTCTAAACTATAAGTGATTTCATTTGTCAAGAGTAATGCGTTTCAAAAACCATTTTTTTTCTAAGTGTTCCTTTCATTTAAAAACCAAGCTATGAAGGATAAACTAAAGGGCCGCGCGGGTCACATTATAAGCGAATTATCTCGATAATGCTGTCCGTTGGCGCAATAGAGGGTTTTAAACATAGGCCTGACGCGCGGTCAACATTGTCAGACGCGGCTTGAACGGAAAGTTTCAGTGTCGCTCAACATTGTCCCCCATGGCCTGAACGGAAAATGTGCACTTTTTCAGTGGCAGTTAACGTGTTAAATTACTAGATAAGGTTTCAGTCAAGACCTGTTTAGAATTGCCAAGGATTCAACAAAAAGGATATCAATGACACACTTACGCTTCCTTGTGGAAGCAAGTTATTGTACCACATTTTTAGTCAGAAAATCAAAACAAAAAAACCACTTCATCTCCAACAGACTGTAGCTGTTCCAATTAAAGTTTTCGTTGATTGCTCATCGGCGGTAGTGTGGAATTAATTAAAGTACTGGAACGATTCCAATTTCCAAGCATTTTGTCTGCACTCGCCCGGCTTAGTAGATGCATGGTTTTGGAGACAGACTGCAGAAGTAAGGTTTGAATGTATTTTCGTGTGAATTGTGAATTTTGTTAGTTTAATTAAATTTTATGGAGTGGAAGATTTGTGGTCATTTTACCAAGTATTTCTAAACCATCTCTTAACTATAAGTTACTTGGCGTGAGGAAGTACCTAGCCAAATTCTTTAGCTGTACTGATAAGTATCATAATATATGGATAACCGAACTTTGCTTATAAAGTGTTTTTAGTACAAGTGTTTGTATGTGTGTATATTTTTTTATATAAACCAGAAAAATATTAATGAAAAATAGAACAAAATACAAAAAAATTAAATAGAACAAAACATAAAATCAAAGAAACATTCGGGCCGTGAATTGAACCCGAGTGTCCTGGCGTAGAACGCACTCGATTTTTCGACTAAGCTATTTAATCGTTATACGTCATGGCAAAATTATGCAACGTAATCTAATGAAAATGAAAATTAGCCAGATCGATTTATCGTCTCCGAAGATTTCAAGAAAAACGAACCCCAAAATTCCTCAAATTCCTAATTACCAAAAGGCAGGTAACGCACTTGTAATGACTCTGGTGTTCCAGGTATCCACGGGAATGCCGATTGCTTACCATCAGGTGACCCATCTGCTAATAATCTAGCGCTTAATGAGAAAAAAACAAAATGTATTAAATTTAGTTTACCAAACGTCCGAAGTAATGATTGTGATGTTGTTTTAAACGGCCAAAAGTTAGAATTTGTCGACGAGACGGTATTTTAGGCATTACATTAGACAATAGACTACAATGTGGCCCACATATAAAGGCGCTTTCGGGGAGATTAAGCTCAGCTGCTTTTGCAGTTAGACAGATTAGACAGCTCACGGACGTAGATACGGCAAGGCTTGTCTATTTTAGTTACTTTCACAGCATTATGTCGTACGGCATTTTGTTGTGGGGTCGAGCTGCAGAAATAGAATCAATTTTTATTCTTCAAAAGCGGGCTATCCGAGCAATATATAACTTACGCCGTTGCGAATCGCTAAGAGAATTGTTTAAAACGATAAACATCTTAACGGTGCCCTGTCAATACATATATGAAAATATAATGTATGTAAGAAAGAATAGGCAATTGTTCGAAAAAAGAAGCGATAGACACAATCTTAATACTAGAGGCAAGAATAAGTTAGCTGTACTGCAATTCAGACTGTCCAAGGTACAGAAATCCTTTATGGGGTTAGGTATTAAATGCTATAATAAAATACCAAATAGCATACTAGATCTAAATGAAAGTAAATTTAAAACATATATTAAGCGCGAATTATGTAAACAAGCGTACTACAGGGTGATTGATTATCTTGAGGATAGGAATGCTTGGCAGCGTGTTGGTTCGGCTCCACTGGACAATACTCAAATGTAGTCAGTACCTAGTTCAGATTACGATAATAGGTAATTTAACACTTTGATTCCGATGAAGGCAATCTATTTTTCTTGTGGCATCGAGCATTTCTTTCTTTATTTAAACAAGAGTATATTTTTTATTTTTTTCTTGTATAGAAGCACTATTTTATATGGATTGTCAGTATACATATGTGAGGACCATGTCAGACTTAAGATATTTGTTTTCTCTTGGTTTTGTTTTTTTTTTT